AAAATAAAAAAAAAATTGAAACAAATTTTTTTCCATTTGGTATTGTAAAGAATTCGGCCTGACATATTAAGGCCCAGTGGCTCCTTATTTAGTTCAACCTAGATGGAAAAACTTTTAAAAATCCATTTAGCCAAAAAATTTTAAGATAAGTAGAACATCTTTTTTCCACCTTATAAACAGTTACAAAACACTAAAATGGGAAGGCGCTGGCTGGTCTGCAAGTTGTCCAAGATAACATTGATTCTCTTCCCCTTTTTAACCCTATGTGATGCCCTGTGATATGTGTCCTTGCTTCTATTAAAGCAGTATATAGACTTTGGGCGGGTGGCCACTTTATAAAAATGCCATTGTTTTATTGTTTTTTGCGTTTTTTTGGTACGTGGGTGTACATAGGGCCCCCTGGTTGCCAATGTGCTACATGCTGGGTGTCCAGTGCACTCCTTTGCTGGCCTTTAAGAGGGGGTGGCTCCCTCAGGTCCACCTGCCCTTGATCTATCCATTAAATGCATGTGCATCCTCTACTATGGGGACTCATAAATTTTAGAGTTAGGACCACAGATGATCAGGGTGCCGTGTCGTGGCTCTGTGGCTTACGTATGTATTTGCAAATGTGTGCTAACTAAACCCCTGTTATAAAACGCATACTGTTAGACAGGTTAATTTGGTTGTTAGCAAGCTGGCTGGCAAGTTGTCCAAGAACATTGTTCTCTCCCCCTTTTTTTCACTATGGTGATGCCTGTTTTTATGTGTCCTTGCTTCAAAAGCCAGTTATAACTTGGGGAGACGTGGCCACTTTTATGCATGTTTGAGTTTTTGGTACGTGGGTGCACTAGGGCCCTGGTTGCCATTGTGCTACATGCTGGGGTCCAGTTGCACTCCTTTGCCTTTAAGAGGGGTGGCTCCCTCAGGTCCCACCTGCCCTTGATCTATCCATTAAAATGCAATGTGCCTCTACTATGGGGACTCATAAATTTTAGAGTTAGGACCACAGATGATCAGGGTGCCGTGCCCGTGTCGTGGCTCTGTGGCTTACGTATGTATTTGCAAATGTGTGCTAACTAAACCCCTGTTATAAACGCATTACTGTTAGACAGGTTAATTTGGTTGTGTTAGCAAGCTGGCTGGCAAGTTGTCCAAGAACATTGTTCTCTCCCCCCACCTTTTTTTCACTATGTGATGCCTGTTTTTTATTGTGTCCTTAGCTTCATAAGCCAGTTTATATAGACCCCTGGGCGGGTGGCCACTTTTTATGCATGTTTGAGTTTTTGGTACGTGGGTGCACTAGGGCCCTGGTTGCCATTGTGCTACATGCTGGGGTCCAGTGCACTCCTTTGCCTTTAAGAGGGGTTGGCTCCCTCAGGTCCACCTGCCCTTGATCTATCCATTAAATGCATGTGCCTCTACTATGGGGACTCATAAATTTTTAGAGTTAGGGACCACAGATGATCAGGGGTGCGTGTTCGTGGCTCTGTGGCTTAACCGTATGTATTTGCAAATGTGTGCTAACTAAAACCCCTGTTAAATAAACGCATACTGTTAGACAGGTTAATTTGGTTGTTAGCAAGCCTGCTGGGCTGGCAAGTTGTCAAGAACATTGTTTCTCTCCCCCTTTTTTTTCCTTATTTAGTTCAACCTAGATGGAAAACTTTTAAAATCCATTAGCAAAAAATTTAAAGAAAGCTAGAACATCTTATTTTTTTCCACCACCTTAAACCAGTTAACAAAACACTAAAAATGGGGAAGCAAATTGGAAAATTTTTTTTTTGTACACAATTGATCAAGTGCATGGATCCATTAGCAAAATTTGTTTTTAAATATTGTTTCATTCTTCTAAAAAAAATGATGTCCCCTACACTAAATTATTGTCAGAAGATATCACCTTCCTGTCAATTGCACTTTTATCACACAGATTTCCTCTTAGGCAAATCTGTGTTTTCATAAAGTATTTATGTTTTAAATATCAAGAGATGCAAAAGCTTTTATTGGATAATGTCGTAGAGAAAGCATATACATTTCAGATTGTATTCATACATTTCTAGATCCAGTGATAGCCTTTTTGATATAACATCTGAGCAAAGACAAGACTCATCTATCAGTTTTTTAAGCTTTCCAAGTAAACAAATATGAGCTGAGCTCAACTCAGAACAAATCCTGTATTCTATAACCCTTCGATCCAGATCTATATCCATAGAACAACACAGAACATCCCTGCTTTGCATCAGTCGTTTCTTCAGTGGGTCTTTTTGTGGGTTTTCTCTTCCTATAGAGTGAACCACTAATTTATATCCACTCTTCTGTGTTTTCTTATTAGCGTTATCGTTTGTGCATTCACAAGATCAAAATATGCTCCTTGATTTGACAGAAGTTGTTGATGTGTTCCAAGTTCAATTATCTTCCCATTCTTCATAACGACAATAAGATCAGCATTCTGGACTGTAGACAGTCTGTGAGCAATCATGATACAGGTTCTTCCTTTCACACTGCTTGATCAAGAGCTTGTTGTACAACCTGAATGTGATAGAAGTTATGCGTAAGTAATAACATAGTAACAGCTTCCAAAACTTTTTGAGACCTAAAAAATAATGGGACCCATTTTAAAAAACAAAGATAACCACCTCCATCCTCTCCCCTTTTTGTGCTTACCTCCTATCTTACCAAACAGTAGATAATTACATATATGATAAACAGCATATGCTCACTTTACTGATGTGGTTGTCAATTACTTTTTTTTATCAAAAAACATAAAACGTATGACATAACCACACAGCAGAAAAAAATGGGGGTCTAAACAAAGGTGCTTGTTTAGAGATGAGCGAATTATTCAAAAATTCGGTTCGGCTGATTCGCGCGAATCGCCGTAATTCGACCGAATAAAATTAAATTCGCTTCGAGCCGAATATATTCGCTGCGAAATTAACTTATTAAAAAGGGTGTTTCTAGGATTCAGAGAACCTTTATATTAGTGCAGAACACTGTACCTTTACTTTAAAAAATGCCCTTGGAGTCTGCTGGGGAAGAGAAAAATAATACTGTCAGTCAGTATGACATGCAGATGAGTGCCGTTCGATCTCTAGAATCACCGCACACTCCTCCCTTCACTCATTTGGGCAGTCACGGGCTGGCCAAAACCAGAGTGTGGAGCCCAGCTGTGGCGGTGGAGGCAAGCAGCAATGGAGGCCATACAGCACCCTATGACAAAATGGAACCCACCAGCAGTGTGAGGAGACCTTGAAAGTGGCACATGGCAGAGTGTGGCGATGGAGACAGCAGCAATGGGAGGCCGTACAGGGGACCCATGACACACTCTGGACCTGGCAGCAGCAATGAGGAGGCGGTACCTGCGGGGCCCATGACAGATTAACGGGCCTGGCAGCAGCATGAGGAGTCGGTACGGGGGCCCATGGCAGATTACGGGCCTGGCAGCAGCATGAGGAGGCGGTACAGGGGCCCATGGCAGAGTGGCGGAGCGTAAGCAGCTATAAATTGAAGGCCATTTACAGAGGCCTATGTTAAAAAGTCCCCCCAGCAGCAGCGTGGGGAGACGGGACTATCAAGAGTCCAATGGCAGAGTGGCGGAGCAGAAGCAGCTTCAATTGAAGGCCAAAACACAGGCCTAGGTTTAAAAGTCCCTCACACAAGTTAATTCCAATAACGAACTCTACTTCCTCCGTGCAATCTACTTACAGAGAACCCTGGGCAGGTCCTGGGTCCAATTTGTGGTAGAGACTGGTTTTGTTCAGCCATGCTTGAGCGAGTAAATAACCGGTCTGTGCTGCCCTTGGTGTCTGGCTTAATGCGCACATCACCCAGAACGTCCCAGCGTTTGTCAACGATTTGCCGTTAAGTGATGCAAAAACCGCTGAAACCAAGTTCATGAGGAGCCGGTACAGGGGGGCCAGTGAATCAGTAATGGACCTGGCAGCAGCGTGAGCAGACGACAGAGGTACATGGCGCAGGGTGGCGGTGAAGGGCAGCATTATTCTGAAGCCCATACACAGGCCTAGGTAAAGAAAGCGGAAGCCGTCCAGCAGCGTGAGCAGACGACAGAGAACACATGGCGCAGGGTGGCGGTGGATGCAGCAGTATTCGGAAGCCAAACTACAGGCCTCCTCGGTTAAAAAGCGGAAGCCGTCAGCAGCGTGAGCAGACAGAACGACAGAGGCACATGGTGCAGGGTGGCGGTGGAGGCAGCAGCAATGGAAGGCCATAATACAGACAGCACCCTATCACAAAATGGAACCCACCAACAGTGTAAGGAGACCTGAAAGTGGCACATGGCAGAGTCTGGCAATGAAGTCAGCAGCAATGGGAGGCCGTACAGGGGACCCATGACACCACTCTGGACCCTGGCAGCAGCAAGAGGAGGCGGTACAGGGGCCCTGGCAGAGTGGCGATCATATATTGTCGTACTTCCATCCATAAGACGGAAACAACCTGCGAACCGGGAGCTTTATTGCCCTGACCCACTGACAGCTTTTCTGGGATACCAAGAGGCCCATGGCAGAGTGGCGGAGCGTAAGCAGCTTCAATTAAAGGCCATACAGAGGCCTATGTTAAAAAGTCCCCCCAGCAGCAGCGTGGGGAGGACGACTATCAAGAGTCCAATGACAGAGTGGCGGAGCGGAAGCAGCTTCAATTTGAAGGCCATACACAGGCCTAGGTTTAAAAAGTCCCCCCAGCAGCAGTGTGGGGAGACGACTATCAAGAGTCCAATGGGCTGGAAGTGGCGATCCGGGAAGTCCAGCGTTGTGATTGCAGATGCAATGCAGAGATTCTATGAGGTGATGCCCGTGTGGTGCGAAGAAGAATCATATACCGTCGTACTTCCATCCATAAGACGGAACAAAAACCTGCGAACCGGGAGCTTTATTGCCCCTGACCCGCTGAGCAGCTTCTGGGATACCCAAGAGTTTGGCTTCTGTGGGGAATATGGTTGAAAACTGAAACTTTAAGGCATGTTGACGGAAGGGCACCAGTGTCAGTGCTCCGGAGGGAATATAGCTTCAAAGCTGACACTTAAAGGTATAATCGACGGTCAGAGACCACAGGAAGTGGAGCTTGCGTCTTAAATCCGACTGAATGTGGCAGACGTGAAAACGTCTACGGGCCGTATATGAAAACGGGATTGTTCCTCTTTATGGAAAAGTGTTTGGAAATGGCCACTCTTTTTGGTGTTGGCGTTTGTCTATTTAATTCCGATAACGGACTCTACTCCTCCGTGCAATCTAGTTACGAACCCTGGGGGCAGGTCTGGGTCCAAATTTGTGGTAGAGACTGGTTTTGTTCAGCCATGCTTGAGCGAGAGTAATAACAGGTCTGTGCTGCCCTTTGGTGTCTGGCTTAATGCGCACAAACACTGAAAGTCCCAGCATTTGTCAACGATTTGACCGTTAAAGTGATGCAAACCCGCTGACCACGTTTCATGAGGAGCCGGTACAGGGGGGCCATGAATCAGTATGGGAACCTTGGCAGCAGTGTGAGAAGACCGAAAGTGGCACATGGCGCAGGGTGGCGGTGGAGGCAGCAGTATTCGGAAGAAACTTTGATGCGATGCTATTACCTTAGTAGATTGTGGAAAGTCGACAAGTCAAGCGTAACTGTGTTACATTACAGAAAATCTTAACAAGAAACCAAACATGTGGCCAAACCGTGGACGATACAACAAAGTTAACAATGTAAGAAAAAACAGGTGGGGGGCCAAACCGTGGCCAAAAATAAAACAGGTCACTCATTGATGAGATGGACAAATCACGTGGTCAAATAAATATTTAAAAAAATTGCTATTCCATCGGTCCTGGAAACTGGTCGACTATAAATAATTAAAAAGTTTAAATTCATGTGACAGTGGTCCAGCGACGTATAAACAATTTAAAAAAACACCATTCATGAGGGGGTCCCGACCAGCAGAGTATAAGTCATTAAAAAGGTTCAATTCATGTGACGGTCGTCCAGCGAAGTATAAATAATTTTAAAAACCCCAATTCATGAGGGGCCCAACCTGCAGAGTATAAGTCATTAAAAATGGTGCAAACATGAGTCGGCCGACCAGCAGCCTCTCAATAAAATATATATACAAATGTACGGATCAGGTGGAGGTCTTCCATTTGTCCCTAATAACATGTTTGGGGCATGATTCATGGCGGATTTAGTCAGTTGTGTCAGGAACTGGTGGTTTGAAATCCAGACTAATCCACGCCTGATTCATTTTCACAAAACACGAGTCACTCCACACTTTGGGTGGACAGTTGTGTCCTCCCGCGGAGTTACAATACCTCCTGCCGCACTAAACACGCGCTCCGATGCCACGCTACTGGCCGGGCATGACAGCCTTTCAAGGGGCAAATTCAGCTAGTTGGGGCCAAAGGTCAAGTTTCGTTGCCCAGTAGTCAAGGGGATTGTCTACCTCGGTTGGCAGGGTGCTGTCCAAGTAGGCCCAAGCCTGTTGTTTGAGGTCCTGCTCCAGGTCCACCTGATGCTGCGGGCTGGTTAGTAGTTTCCTCACTGCGCTGGTGAAGAAAGCTACTCATCATCGACTGCAGACTGAGGCAGCCGCTGCTGGTGGAGCTGCCACTGCTCCTACCACCCCACCCCTCCCCTGCTTGCCATGGCAGCGGAACACGAGCGCACAGGGCCCACAGTGTCTGAGGATGGACGTTGGCGCACAAAGGCAGAGACCAACTGACTACATAGGTGGTTTTTATAGTACTTTATTTTGGCCTCCCTCTCAGCAGGTGTGAAAAAGGCCACCATTTTGGAACGGTAGCGAGGGTCCAAAAAAGGTGGCCAGCCAAAAGTCATCCCTCTGTCTGATGGTTATTATTCGGCTGTCGCTACGCAACAACGAGCATGCTATGGGCCATTTGTGCCAAGGAATGCGAGGGACTCCCTGCCTCCATCTCCACAGCATACTGCCACGGTGCGTCTGGGTCCGCTGTCTCCTCCTCCTCCTCCTTACCAGATGCTCCTGCTCCTCCACTCCTGTCCGCTGAGTGGAAAAAAACCCACCCATTTCACTCAATTATTCCTGAGCACCAATGTCCTCCTCTACCTCCTCTCTTCTTCCTGTCCTGCCCCCACAGGGGTCATGTGGCGTTGAGATCTGTGCGCTAAGTCTACCGCACCCTGACCAGCCCATTGTTAACAGCATTTGTTCCAGGACGTGCAACAGAGGAATGACGTCGTTCGTCCCATAGTCCTGCCGACTCACGAATAGCGTGGCCTCCTCAAAGGGCTGAGCAAGCGGCAGGTGTCACGCATGAGCTGCCAATGGCTGACATCTAAGTTACACAGGGGAGTACCTTTATCCGCTTGTAACATCAGGAAATCGGTGATGGCCTTTCGCTGTTCGTAAAGGCGGTCTAACATATGTAGGGTTGAATTCCACCTTGTTGCAACGTCGCAGATCAGGCGATGCTGTGGAATTCCGTTCTGCCGCTGCAGCTCAAGGAGGGTGTGCTTTGCGGTGTAGGAATGGCTGAAATGCATGCAAAGTTTACGTGACATTTTAA